AGAAGGCCCCCGCCCCGGGGGCAGCGGCGGGCCCCGGCGTGCGGCGGGGCAGGCGGGGCGGCTGCCGGCACCCCGGGGGGTGGGGGCGCTCCGCTTCAGCCCCGGCCGTGTGTCATCCGTTTTTTCCAAATCGGTTGGTAAAATAATCACCCGTGCTGCCAGTTTTTCTGGAAACTCCTAATGTGTTAGCTAGGAATGTTAATTCTAATCCTTTGCGTCTGGGTTTCATTTTTAATAGGAGTTTTGTAGAGCTTGGAACGGTGTGATTGATTTTTAGAAGGAAAAAAATGGACTGGTGGCACTGATTCTGTATCAGTTACTTCAATTATCTTGAAACAGGACAGGTGTTGGTCTCTTTCTGGTGGTCAGTTCTCCAAAACTCATATTTTTTAAACTGATAATACTGTTGTGGATAGCTTCAGAATGCATTTGTTTACAAATTGTGTTTACTGTGACCTCCCTCCTGCAGGGCTTTACAGAACAGTGGTGGTTCCCAGACCATGGTCTTCTCGAGGCCACGCAAGGGAACAGAACTGGCTTTACTCATTGCTGAACTGTGTCTCTAGTCAATGCCTTTTTTTTTTCTTCTTCACTTCATTTTTGTTAGCTTGTGGGCAGTCAATGATTTACCAGTTTTTAACGAGCTTCAGCCAGCGTCTCCTGCTACAGCAGCATGGATCTTTAGAATAGGAGCCGTGGTAAAATCTGTCCCTGAAGTGGCATTAGGACTGGTAACTTTTGTGGATCAGATGTAAGAGCCTTGAGTGTTACAGCTGCAAAATGCTTGGGGTGTGAGAAGCTTGAGTCTGGAATCTAAGGCAAGACAGGGTTTCACCTATCCTGGCCAAAGTGTGCTTGGACTGCTTCCATTGGACAGCTAGTTCAGAGGTGGCGGAGGTTCCTAGCTGTTCAGTGCCACCAGCGATAGAGAATAGAATCAGATGAACTAAACAGCTAGAGGAAGAGAAAAGAAACTTCATGTCTGCAGAAATGGAGGGCTTTCTGAGTTGGCTATTGTAGCATATTCCATACCTGCTCTGTATCTGTTTATTACAACACCTGGTGGCCGCAGGTTTTCATCATTTAATGGGAGTGACTCTTGGGCTGGACACAGCTCCCTTTCTGACACGTTTGTTTGCCAGTACTAATTTTCTACTTAATTATGGTTGTTACTGAGCACTGGCTGGTATTTTGGGGTGTGAACCTAGAGAGGCATCTGTATGTTTATCTTGGCTTCAGTTGCTGCTAAATACACAGAAAGCTTGAAAATTGCTCAGAAACGTTAGGGAATAAAAACAGCTGCTCTGAGCTCTGCAGTAATACTTTTTTTTGAGTTTCAAACTCAAAAAAAAAAAAAGAGCGCAGCTACATCTCCTCCAAATGTAATTGAACATGTTGACGCTGACCTCTGCAGCCCTGCGGAGTTACTTTGCCTATATTGCTGCATTTACTCATAGCAGTCTTGGTTGATTAACCTGGCAGTGGAAATCCAGATGCCTGATTTGATTGTGTCTGCATTTCCATGTCTTACATGACATAGCATTCATATTGGAGGACTCTAGACTTTTCACTTTCTCATTTAGTGAAAAATTTGAGTTCCAGGAGTGCGTGCTGTAAGGTCATCTTGCCTAGATGGTCTGATAGAAGAATTTTTTTGATGTTGCACCCCAGGAGACTATGCATATATAATCGTTATAGTATTTCAGGTTTTGATACAGGTAATTTAGAATAAACTCTATGTCCTTGTACATGTTAGTACGGCAAACTCACCTTTAGGCTGTAGCTCTTAACAGTCACATAATGACATGCCTGTAGGTCTGACACTGTCTGGTAGAAAAGCGATTTTCCTATTATGACCTGCAGAGCTGCTCTTGGGACTCAGTGGTGTGGGTGTAAAGAGAATCCACAAGAGGATCCTTTCTCTTCCTCTGGAGAAGCTGGACAGCCATTGAAAAGGCATCAGCAGTACTTCCTGCCTTTCTCCCTTTTCCTTCAAACCTTTGTGTAGAAGCCAGGAAGGAACAGAGAACCACAAGTATATAAACAGTTTAGAGTCTGTGTTTTGTTCTCTTGACATTAAAAAAATCATTGCACTCCTTCCTCCCTGCTGTTTAAGTGCAGCCTGGAGCCTAACATCTGAAATAATCATTTTATATGACTTCATATGGATTTTTTTTCTAGAAACATAAAATTCAGGATGTGAACATCTCTGTGTCTCGGAACACCCATAAGAAAGGGAGTTTTTTGCACTCTTATCCGTTGCATGAAGACAGAGATAAGTAGATAGAAGGAGAACATGCTGTGGGGAAAAATCCTGGGGGAAGAAAGAAAAGTAGTTTGGGTTTTGATTTTTAAGTAAGAGGAAATTGTAGAAAGGTGATAGAGTTGGCCTAATGTAAACATATCTGAGATTCCTTATTTCTGAATTACGCTGTAAACACTCTTGCTGGAATTGCATGAAACAAATGTGATGTTGACTCTCTCCTTGTTCTGTTTCTTAGATCCAGTAGCACCTTTTTTCCTACTTCTAAAAGTTGCTAAGGTTTCTCTTGATTTGGACACACTGCTGGTAAGTACACTGGATCCATCTTCATTAAGACAACATCTGTTTTGGTACTGTCTTAATCAGGGATCTGTAACTGAAGCTATAACTGCAGCTATAACGCTAGCAGTATTTACAAGATGGGACAAGTTTCCCCCGATGAGGGGATCATGGATAACTCACCTACAAATTCGCTTTCCCTTGATAGCCTCTGATGGGAAAATGAGCTATTTTCTATGTCTTTCCCTTCCTACCCCAAAAGAAGCACTAAGAACTCTTTCATTTTATTTTTTTTTAAAAGCAAACAAACAAACAAAAACTCTCAAAAACCAAATACCACCACCAACAACAAAAACCTAAACCAGCCCCAAATCAACCAACCAAACTCAAAATAAAAACAACAAGAAAACCCAACCAAAAAAACCACCCTTGGTGCATCTGTCAGAAAGGGCCAGCAAAACCAAGGTGTGCAGGGTGGCCTAAACACACCTGGCAACTAGAGACTAATGTCTTCTGTCCATGTAACTGGTACAGCAGAGGTAATAGAAAAATACAAATTTTCCCATGCTGTCCTAAGTCCTGGCTGCGTAGTCCTTGCCATAACTACGCTTTGATAATGTAGAAGGAAAGAAAATACCCCATCTTTTTTCATTCACCCTTTTGTTTTGGAGAATATGGGTGAACCTGACATCACTTCTTGCCCACCCTGCATTAACTCTGCCCAGATTTTCATCATCTGCTATTGCAAATGAATTTGCAGAAACAGTGGGTTTCTGAACATGGTCCGTCTTGTGCTTATTCCAGCTGCTTCTTGCAGAGCTCTGTCTCAGAGTATGCCCTGCCTACATGGAAGTTTTATCCAGGCAAAGGCAAGCTCTTTCTGGAAGATCAAAAGTATCAAGCTTGAGGAGAACAAAATTTGATGCTGTATTAAATTTACCCCTCAAGCTCATTTCTTATAGTTCTGTTTCCTTGCAAGTTGGTTGTGTTGACCTTACTGAAGCTCAGGTTAAGCATAACATTAAATCAATTATGATGGAACTAAGTCTTGGGTCCCCCTACCCAGCGGGTGTCCCATTAATGACCCGCTATCTGAAAAGGTTCATGCCATGAGAACAGTATCTTGCCCACGCTCAGCTATTCTTAGCAAAAATGTAATGCCATTATTTTGATGAATAAGGTGCATTTTTAGCATAAATGTGGTTGTCATTATTTCCTTTCAGCAGTGCTTCTTTAAAAGAGTATGATCAGCACTTAAATGGGACCCACAACCATTGCAATCCTTCAGGGTTAGATGGCATAAAAAGTAAATAAATGCATAATGCTTTCTTACGAGACAAATTGGGCTTCATTTATTTGTCTATAAATCAATAAAATGCTGGCTAGCTGTATAGCTTGATAATGCTTGGAGTCTGCTTCCCGTATACGTGGAAATTCCTTATCTGAAAAGTTCCCTGGGCATTTGACGTTTGCAGGTGTAGAAGGATAGTAAGGGATCCGATCCAATTTCTTCTTTGGTTGCAACCATGTCTGTAACCTTTCTGAGATACAGATATTCAGTTATTTGTATATGCATAAAGTAGAACTTCTGGTACCTAAAGAATTGTTTTGTGACTTTAGACAAATACGCACAATGCAGTATAATGATTTGGAAGAAATTTCAGTAGGAGTTTTTATGACTGAATGTCACTCAGTGAGAATTTTGAAAGTATCTGCTCATTTTTAGGTGCTATAATTTTTAGTGTCCTACTTCATTACAGTCTGGGGTGGATGCTTGGTGCCTATTATGTATTAGGCTTCTTTAAAGCATCTCGAGCACCCAGAGAAGGGATTACTCAATTTTTCTATTTTTTTTTAAAAGACCTGTTATTGAGACTGTTTCCCAGGATCTCTGCAGGCAAGAGGCTGTACTAGGTATGCAGACAGTGGTTATATTGAAACGGAAGCAGTATTCTTTATCATTTGCTCTGAAGAGGAGAATGTGAAAGCTGAAAAGCCATCTGCTTTCTGGAATTGTTCGTGTGCTGGTTTTGACAGGCAGAAGTAGTGTGGAAGAACTGTTAATTGCTTTTGAAAAAATCATAGTAAATTGCTCAACAGAGCCTTCTCTACTAGCTTGCAGCTCTCATCAACAATTTGGCCTATGTGAAATGTGGATAACTGCCTATATATGCATTCCTTGTCCAGTCTAAGGATGTTGGTTTTAAGCGATTCCTTTTCACTCACGCGGCAGCGTGGTAGGACTGAACAGGCACCCTGATATTACATCTGGGCTAAAGAGAGGGAGCTGCTAGTTGAGGGGAGGTGAACTTCTTAAATCACGCTCACTCAGTGATTCACCTTCTTCATCTGGACTCTGTAAAAGTCCATGCAGTGACACAAGGTGAAAGGCTGTGTAGAATCACACGTTCAAGTGCTCCTTTCTGATCTTGAACACAGCAAATTTAGCAATCTGTCAGCTGAGCAATCGTAACAGTCTGTGAAATAATCTGAGGTTTCATTAAAGCGTGAACTTGGTAGTGTTACCTCCACATAAGCGTGTAAGGCAAAGAAGGTGCCAGAGAGTTACTGCCTACCAGCTGCCATACAAGTTTGTTAACCTGGCACAAGTCAGCTGTAGTCAGTCCTATGTCCATAAACTTTCACCTACTGGTTTTTATTTTTTTAAATTTTCTTTTTAATGGCAGGAAAAAACTTCTGTGGGCAAGAATGGGCTGCCGGGATGTTCATGCAGCAACAGTACTGGCCTTCCTCAGTGGAACAGCCTCAGTAGCTGGACTCCTTGCAGCAGTTCTGCTTCCAAACTGGAGGCAAATGAGACTGTACACATTCAACAAGAATGAGAGGAATGTGACCGTTTACACTGGACTCTGGATTAAGTGTGCTCGCTTTGATGGGAGCAGAGACTGTGTGATATATGACCCACAGTGGTACACTGCTGTCGATCAACTGGATTTGCGTGTTCTTCAGTTTGCCCTTCCACTGAGTATGTTAACTGCTGTCTCAGCTCTGTTTCTCTGCTTGATTGGCATGTGTAACACAGCCTTTGTATCCAGTGTGCCAAACATCAAATTGGCCAAATGCCTTGTAAACAGTGCAGGCTGCCATCTCGTGGCTGGCCTCTTGTTCCTGCTTGCATGTGCCATTTGTCTCACTCCATCAGTCTGGGTCATTTTTTATAACAATTATCTGAACAGAAAATATGAGCCTGTCTTTAGCTTTGACATCTCCGTATTTATTGCCATTGCCAGTGCTGGCGGTCTGTTTTTCACTTCCGTTCTGCTGTTTCTGTGGTACTGCGCATGTAAAAGCCTACCTTCTCCTTTCTGGCAGCCCCTCTATTCCCATGCCCCTAGCATGCACAGCTATGCCTCTCAGCCGTATTCTGCACGCTCTCGCCTCTCTGCCATAGAAATTGACATTCCTGTTGTGACACATGCATCTTAAGAAGAAGTTCTTGTGCTCATTCAAACCATGAAAATCACAAGCTTGATTCTCTCTGCTGTCTTGCACTGAGCGTAATCGTTTGTAAGGTCAAGTTTCCCAAGGTGCAAAGCAATGGAGCCCTGAGTTCAGCATGTCTGTTGCTGTTCTCGAGTGTTACTTCCTGACCAATTTTTTTTTTTTTTGTTTTAGCTCCGAGCTCGCTATAGACAAAATTGCTGCTAATGCTGGGACAGTACACTAGCAATAGTATCTGTTCATCCTTCTGCTTACTGAGATCAAAGCAGGTTTGAACCTCTTTGCTATTTGATAAGCTATTACGAGATTCTGATCCCATTGTGAAAGCTACATAGGTGGAGCCTTGCACCCATGCATTATCAAAATGCAGCCAGTGGAACTGGGTGCAGGGCATTCACCGAGTTTCTTGTTCATCTAGACATGCGTATTTTAAGATGCGATGTCTGAAAAGGGTATTTAGCAGACCAGTTCTGTAGCACTGTTCTTTGTTTTCCACTGCACACACAAAAACCTACTTGCTTATGAACTTATGTTAATAGAATTAGTGTCAAGTTACCCTTTATTTTCAAAGTAGCTATCAGAAGAAATAAAACTGATTTAACTAATAATGCTCTTCTGTACTGTAATAGCATTTTGTGAATTACTGGAGGCTAGAAACTTTTTTGTGAATTTTATTTCTAGTCTGTTTTTTAATAAGTTAGCAAATTCACTAGATCTATTTTGTGATTAAAACAAAAAACACTACTATTTAAAAATCCTGTGTAGAAGCTTGAATGTTTTATTTGAAGGCCATCTTGAAGATGGATTTTTCAAGTAGGCTTTAAAGCATTATTCAGTTCGGGAGAGAAATGTCACTCACTGCAAAATGGATTAGGAAAACCATGAAGAATTCTGAAGGCTATGAAAGATTCTTTTGGAACACTGTACACAAGCTGTAACAACATCTCTCTAGGAAGGGGATTATGACCCTGGGGAGAGATTTTTAAATCTAGATTTTTTTTTTTTTAATGTATATACAAGTAAAAATGAGCTTGTGTATTTTTCAGAGTAGATCTTTATGGTTGTTGGAATTTTCATGCTGTAGCTTATTTAATTACTGATTAAGACTTAACCTTTTCAGCCTTGTTCTTTAGCACCTTTCAAGTTGAGCTATTTTAAAATCCAGTTATTTCCTATGTTGCAATGTCACAACTGGAGAAAGTTTCCCATTCCTATTTTCTGTAAGATGAGGTTGTGAATAACTTGTGAGCTTCACCTTGTAGCTCTACAAGGATGAGGAGGGATTATAAATTCCCAACCTGGGATGTCTTTAATTTTTTCTTCTAAAATGCAGGGCAGGTCAGCCCTAAGGATCAAAGCTTTTCAATATGGGCTTTGAAATTACTTGGAAATTTGATGACAGCGAGTTGAAGAGTGTTATAATTAAGGCAAGTATTTGATTTGCTCAGATTCTGGCAAATGGAGATCTTGTTTTAAGATGTCATTCCAGTAAGGAAAGTTATTTTGATTGGTGGCATTCTGGAGCTTAGTGGATATTTGTATTTCATTAATCCCAGAACAAATTTGCTCTGCTAAAAAAATCAAATAGAGTTCTTTAATTCCAGTTCTGCAAACTTATCCAAGTTCCTGAAAGTCAGTTCGTTTCCTTTTCCATGCATTAGAAATCGGAACAAATGCTGTGCTGGGCAAATCTTGTTCCATGTGATAACACTATATTGAGAGGAATCATTGTGCTTTAACTGGTAGACCTTGGACTTCAGTGGCCTGAGTGAGGAAGCTGATCTCTCTCATAAATTCCCAGCATAGTCAGTAAAGTGACAGGCCTTTCAGACAGAGTGCTTGATTAAATTGCAGTTGAAGGAATTAACACTGTAGATGATAAAGAATACTTAAGGAGATAGGCCTCTAAAGTTACATGATAATACCCTCTTAGGTTTACAAGGTATGATGTTAGATGAAGTATCTTTTTTTTTTCTTTTAATCAGGTCATGACTTATGTGGGATTAGAACATGTATAATGACATGTAAGCCAGCTTTTTTCCCTTCAAAATTGAATTTTGCTTTACAGTTACTCTGGTTGCCCAACCTTAGATACTGTTGCTGTTTCAGCTGCCGATATCCTTGGATGCTTTGTCAGGTCAAAGCAAGGGGACCACTGGTTTGTGATTTCACGTCAGCTTGCTTCCCCATCACGCCCAGTGTCTTTTCTTCTTTGTGCCTTGCTTAAGTTACGAGTTGGCCAGTAAATGTTAGTTTACAGTCAGCGTCTGGTATGCTTTTTGAGCCTGAATTTACAAGGCATTTTGATCATTTTGGAGGGATGATGAATACATCTCTCGGTGACTTTAAAAGGAGCCGAATCTTCAGCATCTCCAGAGCAAAAAAAGCAGCCTGGCAAACTGATGTTTTCTATAGAGAGTAAATGCAGACAGTGTTTTGTTCTGTACACTTTAAATAGCAGATGTCTCTGACAGCTCTTTTGTATTCTGACTTTGGTTTTTATGCACTAAACTTTCAATGAATGTTTGCTGCTGCCTAAGCTGGGAACTCGTTGCTTTGAAAATTGTGTCTTTCCGAAAGTCTGAGATGCATCCAAGTTATGAAAAGTAGGGATCCAAAAGCTAGTGGATTCCAGTGTAGGTTTCAGTTAAGGTCACGTTTATCAAAAAGATTGCCGCATCATGTTGTATCATTGAAGCACGGCTGGGTTTCTTTCAACAGTGCTGTTAATGTGAGTTTCTGCTGGATCCTAAGTGAAATTAACTGGCTGTGCTGTGCTGAGTTTCTCCTTCTTTGCAGAAAGAGGTGGCCAACCTGTGACACTTGAGCCGAGTGCCACTCCAGCATTTCTCGGGCCAAGGTTACCATTGTACCCAGCAGCAGGGCTGGGGAGGGACAGGCCTTCCCGGGCTCGGGGAGGAGAACGCGTCTATCCTGTGAGTATCTGCCAGGGAACAGCCGCTGCGGAGCAGCGAGCACCCCTGCCTCTGAGCAGCTGCTCCTCCCTGGGCGCTTTGCTGTGTGCAGGACAGGCGCTTTGTGTCTTCAACACAGGAAGACTTTAATTTCTGGCTCATGCAGTCAAAGGTTGGGTGCTCTGGGATTACGGGAATCTGTATTTTTTTTCAGGCAATTCCTGTCCAACTTCTTAAGTTGTGTTTAATTACAGTGTTGATTCTTTTTATGTGAAACAGAAGATATGTATTTTTAATAAAACATTCTCATACGGATGCTGTTTACTTTGATTAATTTTGTGGAAAACAGTAACTGCTAGAATATGAAAGACTACCTGTTTTTATATTGATTGCCAGACTGTTTCAGATGCCTTAACAGGCTTAAAAAGTTGTGTATACTGCAATTTAACTCCCTAATTTTATAGGACTCCTGCTTTAAACAAAACAAACCCCCCAAAAAACCCAAACCAACTCTTCTGCTGCCTTCTGAAAGCTTGACTGTTATTTATAATTTCCCTTTATTTTTATTGTAAGCTAGTCTTAAGAAGTTCTAGGATTCCTTTTCCTCTTAAAAGAGAGAGAGTGATTTTCCTTAATCTAGAGGATTCCCTTTGCCTGCGGCCAGGAGGCAGGCCGGGGGCCAGAATCCGGCAGCAGAGCCAGGGTATCAGCGTGACATGGAATAGAGTGCAGCCCTCACCCTGCTCCCAAAGCCCTGCCTCTTGCCGTGTCAGTTCTGCCGCTTGCTCAGCCATCGCTTAACCAGTGCAACTTGTGAACCCAGCTGAAAACTTCCGTGCTGGGTTAGTTTTTTCCTAGACTGATAAGATTTGCGTTGTGTTAGTGTCACACAAGAAAGGCAGTGGTGGCGTTAGCCACCCTCCTGCCCTCTCCCCTCTGCTGTGCCGGCTGTGCTGTCAGCTGGAGAACATGCTACTGCCTTACATATGAAAGTTGTTTGGGCATCCCAAACAGCGGCATTCCAGAATGACGGTACTGGTTAGTGATGCTTCATTTCCGTTGTGTGCTGCTCCTGGCAACTACAGCTCGGCAGCACTATGGTGACTCAGTACTGAGCCTTTCCTCATTGTTATGGGGCAAAATACAAACCCTTTGAGCATTAGAAACGCTGATGATGTAATGCAAGTTCACAAAACAACCTGGATTATTTATGCAGAATATAATGAGACTTGCTCATAATTCCTCTGTAGATTTCTAGTATTCTAAACTGGCATTCTAGTAAGTTCGTTTTTCATCTGTTTGGGGAAGTATTGTTTATATGAGAACAATTCTCATGGAGCATGCACAGTATAAAGCAGTAGTTGCCAGTACTACAACTCACTTGAGGGGGTGGAAAAGTGATTTTACATTCTCTGCTTCTGTGGGTTCATTTCCTCCTTTGCTGTCACTTTCAGACAGCCCTCCTGTCTCCGAGAGCTGGTATAAACCTAGGGGCTAGTTGGGTGTTGACATAAATAATGTGATGCAGAGAACTGGATTTCTCCCAAAATATGGGAGTGCCGCATTTTTTTCACATTAAAATTCCTAAAAAACTACCCCATGTATTTGTGTTCACTGAAAACAAATCTCTTGGCAGATTTTCCCATTTTATTTCAAGAATTGCG